AAAAAAAAAAATCTGAATTGGGTCACTTCAGGCTGCAGTGTGAACACACCCTAAGTTTATTCCACTTGGTGCCGTTCTTGTTCTACGTTTCATAGAAGTCTTTAGCCAGCTAGCAACGTATGGAGAACGTCTCAACGCGTGACGTCATCACCGCTTCTACTTGTCAAACAGCGTGCGGATGACGAGCAGCCCGGTAGCAGTCGCCTTTCTCTGCGTTTGATCGTGGCATTTGTTAATGGTAAAGTACTGGAATGGCGACTGCAGGGAAGGGCAACTGGTACCGGACTGATCCATCACCCGCCGCACAAAAATCTGAATTGGGTCACTTTACAAGCATAGTGTGCATGAAGTCAGTGTAGCTTAGCCTAGCACCGAATGTCAGCCATGACAAGGAACAGGGGGCGGGACTTCCTTCAGAGGCCCGCTCACCCTGTGGGCCGCACTAATATTATACTTTCATATCACGGTGGGGCCACGAGATATCGTCCTACGGGCCGCAATTGGCCCGCGGACCGCGAGAATAAGACCTCTGTCCTACAGGATGAGACCTGTAGAGATGGAGCTCTGGGGGTTCCTGTCATTTCCCTGACCTCTGCTCCTGTTCTGACCTTTGACCTTGGGATAAATCAGCTGGACACCTGAGATGTTTTCCTGTTGGGAATAATCTTGGGACTCCAAATAGTTTGGAGATTACCTTTGACCCTTCCTAGGTTTATAAGAAGTGTCATGGCTGTCATAAGGCTTGCATATCTCAGATGATCATTTTAACACCATAAATAAAATATGGAATGAACCTTAATCCAGAATAGGATTTTTTATGTTCCAGAGCATAAGTCGCTCCTTTTCTAGAGCTGCTGATACAGACGATGATGTGTTGATGTGTGTTTTAGAGTCGAGCTTCATCTACTGGAACCCAGACATTCTGATCCAATGGCTTCTTTCTTAAACAGGTGAAGGAAGAAAATGTCAAGGATGTTCTGTCTGTTGCTGTGGCAGCTAGTTCTCAGAGTTTCCTGCCATGTTGCTACAGGTAAGAATGTTAAGTACATCATGAGTTATTGGTGCTGCTTCGGTACATCAACTGCTGATTCTGTTTGGTCCTCAGCTAGTCTGTGTACGGCCGGCTCCAACATCTTTGCGTCTGTCAGGGAGAACAGTCCAGTAGGTCAGTTCATCTCACACATCAGCATCAGATCTGACCCAGGAGCCAATACCGTGCGTCTGTGCCTGACCGGACCGAATGCCAACTGGTTCTACTTAGAAGGTCGGACCATCAGACTCAACTCGTCTGCATCCAGAGTCCTGGACCGAGAGGTACGGCTCAGACGCCAATAATACACAGTCCAACATGTCTGATTAACCAAAGCGTCTTTGTTTCCCAGGTTTTGGGTCCATTTCTGATAGCTGAGCTCACCTGTTATGAGGATGATATCAAACAAGTAAGTTCAGAGAACACAACCAGAATACACACACCTGTCAGTCCAGTAAGGCAATGTAAACTGGTTTCAGAGCCACTACAGGATTCTGGTGGAGATTCTGAATGAAAATGACAACAAACCAAAGTTCCTGGAGGAGACCATCCAACCGTTCAGCATCAGTGAGGTGAAACATCTCAACAAATGGAGAACCTGTATGATCCAACAGATTGTCCTGTCCAGTCCAGGAACCACTTACATGTCAGTCTTTCATTCTTCTGCAGGTTGCAGCAGTAAACTCTGTGGTTTTCACTGTGAAGGCTGTCGACTCAGATGGAGACATGATCAGCTACGTCATCGACCAGTCCTCGGTAGGATCCCCGTCTACTTCTGCCCCATTCAGCATCAAAGTTTCAGGATTCATGCTGCAAAGCAAACCTTTGTCAGGAAAGTTGCATCACCCGTTGTCTGTTACCTGCAGGAAGATGCATGGTTCTTCAGGATCGACTTGCCCAACAGTGGGAAAGTGGTGCTGAGCAAACCTCTGGACTATGAGAGCAGAACTCGCCTACAGATCATCATGTGGGCCCAGGTGAAAGTTCAGTTGTAAACAGGTCCAGCAAGAGTCCAAAGTTACAGATTTCACTACATGAAGAAATTCAGATCATTTGACGTCATTATAGCAGGGCAGTGCAAAGACAACTAAAGGGGCAGGTGCTCAAAAAAAAAAAAAAAAGGGGGGGGGGGGCATATCTAACCGCATTTTAGGACAGAATATTAAAGTCACACAGCTTTCAGAGTTTAATAAACAATGATAAATTACAAATTGTGAGATATAAAACTAGATTTAGTACATCTTAACATAACAGCTGCCTTGTAGTATTAAATATACTGTTAACTACCAAAAACTGCATGTTGATCATGGTAAGAATC